GTTGCGGCATGCCCAACGTGGTCACGCGCTTCAAGGCGACCAAGGACCTAGACAAGGATCACGACCCGGTGGTACCCTTCATGCTTTCTTTGTCTCTTCGAAGCGAGGCAGCAGCGAAGTGTCATCAAGCACTCCAGCTCCTGGACGGCAATGCCTCCCTCAAGCCGTCGGGGGTTCGCCTTCGACCCGAGAGAGGACAACAATCCAAGCTATGCAAGGAGCTGGCGGAGCACTACCTTCAGCTTCCCTACACGGACTGGAAGCCGAAACCCAAATGGGGGAGAGGCGACCATGCGCCCTCGACCGAGGCGCCGGCAGCGGAGCGCACGAACCAATAGGCGCCGCACCGACACATGTTTGCTATAGGGCTTATACTGATGTCCCGCAATTACCGCTTGCGCGACTGCAGAACCCGCACTCCATTTGTTACATCAACTCAGTTGCGCAATCCCTAGCCTGGCAGGGTCGCCTTGCCCATGCGACGTTGCAGTGCTATGGCAGTGCACGCAGTGCGCTGCAGCTGGTGCTTTCCTCGGGCATGCCTAACCTCGTGCAGTGTCTTCCCTGGGCTCGCTTCTTGCGCACGTGGTCTCACGTAGCGCAGCAACATGACGCTGCGGAGTTTGCCATGCACTTTCTGCAACTAGCCCAGCCGAGCGCGTATCAGGGGTCGTGGCAAGCCCGACTCGTCTCATCCGATCAGGTGACACAGTCTGGGCCACTACTTGCTCCCATCCTGATGGAGGTACGCGGTTGCACGCTACAGGATGTCATAAATCACTGGCATGCGCAACCAGTAGGCCCAAACTCCCTCTCTGCCCGCCATGCCATTGCATCACATAGCGGTCTCCTCCTAGTACAACTAGAGCGATACGGTTTCTCGCATGGTCGCCCTGACAAAAACACAAGCCCAATCCAGTGCAGGCCGGGCGCGGTGGTGACTGTGCCGTGCTTTACTGAGCCCACCGGGCTGAGTACGGGGTTTGAGCGATTTCGGATTGTCTTCGTGGTGTTCCATTTAGGCCCTACTCCTGTCACGGGGCACCATCAGACTGCATTAGCATGCCCCCTGCCGAGAAGCGTAGAATCGGGAGTAGCACCACCCTGGCAATTCCGCATATGTTAGGATCGCTGCAAAACGCGCAGGACCACTACCCGGGATGTTCAAACAGTTGATAAGAACGGGTACCTCATAGGGCTGCTCCGAGCTGAGGAATAACCCACAATGGGCCACAGGTCCTGCGCACATGCCGAAGCGCATGATGCGCCTTAGTGCGACGGGGCTCACCGCTCTCTGTGACAACCAGCGTTCGAGAGCGGATGGATAATGTTCTTGAGGTTCTGCCTCTCATGCATGGTCTTATGTTTCAAGTGAATGTCGTCTCTTTGCATCTCTTACAACCACATGCACATGCCCGCAGTTTTGATGTTTCAGAGTTGGCGCCGGTTTCTGTGACCTGCAGTTGCGCGCCGGTGCCGGCCTCAAATCCTTCCAGTGGTGTACAGGCGAAAGTTCTCTGTCTAGTAGCGTGCATCCGCCGCTGCATTGACTGCATCTTGTATGCTCATGCACACAGCTCTTTTCTCCAGCCTTGGATTGATTGTAGTCCACCGGTGCATCACCCTGTCTCGGATGGCACGTGAAATTACCCTCCCTCGCCAATGGTACCACCTGGCACTTGAGGAGTATCTGCTGTTAAGTGCGCTTAAAGGTATATACAGGGAGACCTTGAATGCACAGTTCCCGGCAGCCTCTTCCATGTGGTCGAGGAATGAACTCCTGAAGTATGGTCAGGACACTCTTCCCCCGGAACAGTTTGCCATTCTTGATGCATATGCCAGCCAGCTCAGCGATCGACTGCCGATTGTGGTGGATGACCATTTCCCCGCCCTACCGGTGAACCTGGAACCACCTGGCAGTGATGCTGAGGAGCGCGCGCGGGACTACATTGCTGAAGGCTGCGGGTCGTATTGGACGGCCATTCGAGAAATCGTCAACTGGCTGCCTTTTGACGCGCGTAACCGCAAGCTCTCATCTAAGCCCCAACTGGTGTTCAGTGCTGGTGCTTATGGGCATCGTGCATACACCGGTCTTCTCCGTGAGACGGAGAGGCATCAGGCGGTCTGCTGTATGATGAACGCTTTTCTACAGCAGCTTGAGCCGGAGTTCTACTGGACCACATTTGCTGTTCTTTGCAACTGCCAGACTGACATGCACGTGGATGTGCAGAACGCGCATCGTGAAAGTGTCATTGTTGGGCTTTCGCACTTCGCTGGTGGACAGCTGTGGGTTCAAGAAGGCCTCGGAAGGCACTATGATGAAGTCCAGGGCCACCTTCAGCCTGGCAGACTCTACGAGATCAGTGGCCGATGCTATGCTGTGCACACGTCGTTGCGCTGGCATCGTACTATGCCGTGGAATGACGGTGACAGGCTGGTGCTTATAGCCTATACCATTGGCCAATACCGTAGCATCTCTGACAGCAACAGATGCATTCTACGTAGCCTTGGTTTCTGCCTTCCACCTGCCACGCGCTGATTTCGAAGTACTGCTGGATGCCGACCTTGCTCCCGCTTCACCTCACCACTAGGGGTTCCTGGTTCCTGGTTTTAGGCTAGGCCCTTGCCCCCTGTAGACTGTGAGACTGTGGGATCAGATAGCTGTCTCGCCTGAAATGGCGAATATCCACAGGCTTCTGATGTGTATGCCGGCCAATAGTGCCGGTGCAGCAAGTGCTACATCGCGACATGGACATGCCGTGGTCGCTGAGTGCCATCGGGGGTAGTATGGCAAGTCGTAAAATGCTGTGACATGGTGCATACCAAAGCAGCCAAAGACAAACTCTGCATTGTTAATCATTCTTCACTGCCTTGCGTAGTGTGTGTCTCTGTGTACCTTTGCACCCACGCTGCCAGCTGCTGGATAAGACCTCATAAGCCTCATAAGCCGACCTGCGACCCCTCTGCCTCAGGTCATGAATGCCCCAGCGGTGCCGCCGGCAGCTGGCGAGCTGAGGACATGTCGGACCGATGGTTGCCAGCGACGGTACATGGGGTTTCATCGTCAGTGCTGCTCTATCTGCAGAGGCACCCGAGGACTAACGCATACACGTCGTTGTGAGCGCGTACAGCGCGCACAGCGCAATGGAGATGCGCGGCGCTTCGCAGTCACCAGCTGCAGCACAGCAGGCTGCCTTAGGCTCGCTGGCGTTGGCTACAGCACTTGTTGCAGTCGCTGTGGGAATGCCCACGGGATGCAGCACACCTCACGCTGCCAGCGCATGCAGGGCCCACAAATGGTGTTTGGAGGAAGCGGACACTCCTTGAATGTCCCTCCGAATGCTACACAGACGGCTGATGCTTCGGATGGTGTAGGCTTTGCGATGACAACAGCAACAACGATGCCTGCTGCCATGACAGATGATGGTATCTCGATGCGGAGTGACACAGGAGAGTACCCGGAATCGGGAGATGCCGCCTCCAGCACGGCACACTACCTCCTCTCGGGGCCGACCGATATTCCCTCTTGTACAATCTCTCCGTTGGATGCTGGACACTTCTCAAGTGACATGACGACTGCATTGAGTGAGCATGTGGACGATGCAGACAGTACGCATTTGCAAGATGCAGGGCTTCACTGCATGGACTGACGAGCCTCTTATTCTCTTTTAGAAACCCATCCATAGGACGTTCCAGTTATAGGATTGATCAATGGATCAAGCAGCCACAGAGCTGCCGGGCGCTTAGCGCTTGTCCTTCGCGAGGCATCGGAGTCGGGTGCAGCGTGTGAATGAATGAATACTACTACTACTACTACTACTACTACTACTACTACTACTACTACTACTACTACTACTACTACTACTACTACTACTACTACTTTGTGGCAGTGTAGTGTAGGTTTAGCCCTTGCCCTTGTGCTGTACCAATAGTATCGTTGCTGCGATCCCCCAACCCCTTCACTATATGATCAACAACTTTCCTTAAGTTGGACGGCTCATGTAATTCTTCTTATGTTCTGTATCAGGGAAAGGGGGCTTGTTGGAGTTTCGCGGCTTCGTTGAAACTGTAGCACTGTTTTGTCTTGTCCCTTGCAACGTCATGTAATGGAACAAGTAGCTGTAGCCGAATCCACGTAACCAGTGAGTTTGGTGCCCAAGTCACTACGCAGTCTTGGTGTTGAGGGTAACTATTTGCTGTATGCATTTTCTGTTTGTGATATATGCTGCTTGGGGGCCAAATGTTCTAGTCGACGCGTCACCTGCAGCGCGGAATCCGAACGAGTCCGACAAGTGGGAGCCAAAAAATTACTACTACTACTACTACTACGACTACTACTACTACGATTACTACTAGCACTACTACTACTACTACTGCTACTACTACTACTACTACTACTACTACTACTACTGCGAGTACGATTACGACGACGACGAAGACGACGACTACTACTACCACCACCACCACCATGACTACCACGACTACCTACTACTACTACTACTACTACTACTACTACTAGCTACTACTACTCCTGCTGCTGCTGCCGGCTGCTGCTATGATGAACAGTCGTACGAACAGGAATCACGATCGTACATCTGCTGATCGCGATAAGGTGAAGAATGATGATGCCGATATGGACAAAACTACCAATGACAATGCTAATAGAACCGTGATGTAAAGCCCGCCGCACAGGCTTAGAGCTGAAGTTAACCATACTTAAAACCAGCAAGTTTTGCGGGTGATGCAAGCCCCGCCGGCACATGCATGCCCAGCATGCCGGCGTCTTTGGATTGTAGCAAGGGCAGTGCACTCACTAGACTTTTACATGCCAGTCTTTAAACAGATTTTATTCAGTTTGCTCCCATCCCGTGCTTCTGACTGGGCTCAATGCCAAGAGCAATCCTCAAACAGGGGTTTCGGTTTCAGTCTTGGTCTTGTCATCGGAGTCGTACTCTGACCTTTCCCAAGGGTGGTATGCATCAGTGCGACCCGGCCGCCAGGCAAGTTCTGAGCTGCGGCTCTCCAAGTCCAACGGGTCAAGCTCCTTGGAGACCACCTTCGAGGTGGGACAAGGGCCCTTTTCCTCTGCAGCACCTGTGCACCTGGCATTGTCGCCATGTTGCATCAGGAGGCGAAAGCTGCGGATGCGGTGCTCGTGATTGAGGGCATCCGCCCAGACACCCTTCTCAAACTTGAGAAGCGAACCCACCCTCCAGCTCTGAATTGCTGTGTGTTGCAAAGGAGAACTTCCTGGACGACGCAGACAGTGGTCTGGACACGACGTTCCAGCAGTTGGCATTTCACATCGAGCGCTTCTCTGGCGTCGTGCTGCTGTTGGTGACCTCCGAGGATGTGTTCCGCTTGCAGCTCCTGCCGCAGGCACGGCACGGGCATCGCAAGGGGCCAGGCAGTTGCAAATGTGCATCTCCCACGTGTGGGACATCTAAGGAGTTTGCCCGCTTGATCAAGCAGCTTTTCTTCAATGCCAGATCTTAGTCCCATCTGCTGGGTCAGGCTGCACCGCCAGTTACAGCTGGAGTCAGCTAGAGCGTAGAACTCGCAATACCTCATGTTACGGGGTAGGGGCTGCTCAGCATTCTTAATAAAAAGTGCTGGGACATTGTCGCGGTGCAAAGGTTCATGGTCTTGTTCGACCATCCCAGTGCCGCACAGCGCAAGGCGCTGTGGCGCTCGGCGCTGCCACCGCGCGTGCCTTTGGCAGCAGACGTCGACTTCGAGGCCCGCCGGCGCTGCCGCCCCAAAAGCACATAAAAGCGCCAGCTTGCTGCATTGCTACGATCAAAGATCATACGTCTGACAGTCACGCCGTCACCATGGTACTCTGAAGTCCTCAACGACAGACGTGATGTTGCCTGTTCAGGAGCTTGGTGGCCGCTTCGACCTCAACGCGGATGCCATCGCCTCGGCCGCCTTCCGCGCGGCGGCCGCGGCGGTGCTGCGGCAGGGGGAGGAGCGACAGGTGCTGCGCGAGGACATCTGAGAATGGGGGAATACGGGAGAGAAAGCTTGTCTGCAATGCTGACGTGCTGGCGCAGCCAACGTGCAGGACCTGGTCACTGCAGCGGAGCTGGAGCAGTCCCTCATGGACAAGTCAAAGAGCGCTGTAAGCTGTCGGCCTTGTGTCGAGGAATTCCTTCGCAAACACCGCTACACGGAGACTTGGCGAGCTGTGCAGAGTGACAATCAAAAGTCAACGAACAAGAACAGGTTTAAGGGAGGACCGTGTCCAGTTGGACCTGTGGCACTTGCCAGAGTGGCTTCCCTGCCCAGTCACGTCTTTGGAGTCTGAGGAGGTGAGCAGCTTCCACAAGGTGTACTTATTGAAGGAAGAGCGCGAGAGGAGAAGATCCTGGAAAGGCGAGGCGAAACGGCGGGAAGTGGTGTTTCTTTTCTGCAGTACCCCGGCCCCTACCCTTGAAGGCTGTGAGCGGCTCTGCTTGCAAGTTCGAGCTGCAGAGCTGGATCGCCTCTTCGTTCCCACCCTGACCTTGGACGGCATGGAGGGCTCTTACCCGGAAATGCCTCTCTGCTCGCATGCAGACCTAAGTTGGACGGGCGCCGGTCTCGTGGGGGGCTCCTTGAAGGTTCAATCAGCATCCGAAAAACATGGGCCTCTGCTTCAGCATCGCGCCCAGTGGCCGGGATGTCTTGCTCATCGAGGCAGGGACGCCAGATCCGGAGCCACCCGAGCCGCAGCCCCAAGCGATCTCAGGCGCAGGACAGGCTGAGCAACGAAGACTTGGAAGGCAGGATCTTAGCAAGCTTCGCCACTTTGACCACATTGTCAGCAGTGTATCGTGAGGCACTATGTACTTCAATGCCAGTGGAGGCATGCGACCTGGCCACATTGCCAAGCTAGAGCCTGTGGCGCAGAACGGGATGGAGGAGAATCTGATCGTAGACAATGTGCTTGACCGAACCTTTGCTTGCATGCTTGAAGGAGTTCCTGCTTGACCTGACAGACTGGCTGAAACGCTTCTCCGAGTACTTCAAGGGAGACATGGAGCACACGCAGATCCTGGCATCTCGGCATTGCATGGGACAGCAACTTCAGTGACATGTGGCCTGCCCGCTGCATTTTGCATTCCTGTATGCTGCAGGAAATGAAGGGCTATGCTTCAAACTTCTTGGTTCGGTGCTCGACGCAGCAGCCGTCAAAAATGCCAGTGAAATCTGCGCAGAGTTCGCTCACGGTGTACTACACGGCTCCTTGAACAGCAGTTGCTGTTCTATGTTTTGATGCACTCCAGCTTGTGATATGCAACTGGTGATGTGAGGCGCGCGAATTCTTTTGTTGAGAATGTCAGGTAGCTTTCTCGGCATTGCCAGAAGTCCCCATGGTGCCGCGTCCATCTGATCCTCGGGTTGGCTTCTTCACCAACTCCATCCTGGTAGGGGGGCCGCGGCAGGCCACGAGCATCCAACACGTCATCTCTAGGTGGGACCTAAGAAGACACCACGAGCTCCAGTATGTGATCGATCGGGCTGTACCAAAGCTGTACCATGAGACGATCAAGAAGGGTGTGCATGCCTGGAATGCTGCGTTTGAGCCGGTGCTTGGCCGACCAGTGCTTCGCTGTGTGGGCCCAGATGACACTGACTACCCGGAGGAGTACCATCCTGGCGATGGCCGCCACATCGCGATCTTCATGACCAACCCGTCGACCAAGGGTTTGCTGGGTTACGGTCCAAGTGCCTTTGATTATCGGAGTGGCGAGATCTTGATGGCCAGTGTCATGCTGGGCTTGAAGCCGCATGTGAAAGTGCCCTCCGACTTGTCAGAAACACTGCTAAAGTCACCGGACAGCAACTCCTGCCAGCAGCCACTGCTAGATGCAGACGACCCGGATGTCATGAAGTACTTGTTGGAGACGGTGGTGCATGAGGTGGGGCACACCCTCGGACTGCGACATAACTTTATCGCAGCAGAGGACGGGCATTCCTCCGACGCTTGTCTTCAACTCGACAGCACGCTGGAGACAGCATGCGCTTTGACATGTCTAATCGCTGCACTAGGTCATGGACTACCCGGATGACCTTGATACTTCCGATCCTGCTAAGCCTGTTTTCGGTGGACACTTCCTTGGCGGGCCGGGCAGATACGACCAGTATGCCTGCTACCCAAGCCTTCGAACATGCATGGCTCAGCCGTTGTCAACATTCCGCATTCGACAGCACTGACTGAGGCCATCAGCTACGGCTACACGCCGCTGGAGGAAGTTCGCGGGCAGCGCCATGCCAAGCTCGAGCTGTTGGCGAATGGCCAGTCTGTTGAGGAGGAATCAATTTGCGGACCTTGCTCCACTTTCAAGTTAGTGATAAGAGGAACTAGCACAGCGCGATGCACGGCAGGAAGAGGTCTCCGCCGAGCCTAAGAATCCGCTATTTGCCTCGGACGATGATGTAGGCAGGGTGGGTCTGGGGATGGGGGAAAGATGCTGAAAAGCCATGGGGATTGGGCTTCAACACCAGAATCGAGACGTCGTAGGATCGATACTCTCTTGAAAGCTCAACAAGTAACAAGTCCATCGTAGCTCCGCGTTGCCCGGATCCTCCCGCACTTTTGCTGAAGTCATGTTGCTTTTCCTTGTTCTGGTTGGCGTGGCATGAGACAAAGCCCTCAGGCGGCTTGGATCCGCGAGTGCAGCAGCGGATGGCTTCCATCGAGCGAATGGGCCACCTGGCCGGATTACAGAAAAAAGAGACGAGGGTACAAACCCGTTCGTCTTGGTGGTGCAGGGAAGTTGAGTCCGGACCTTCCGCAATGTGAAATGTCCAGTGTTTTCGACCTTCTCAAGTCGCCGGGTGCTTTGCGAGTATACGGGTGCCGTAGAGCTTTTTGGGGGAAGATCGCCTGCTGCAGGTGTGGACAAAATCCTATGGGCGCTGCAGCGTCGGAAGATGCTGCTCGAACACGTGCAAAGTTCTCACGTTGATTGCGCCTTTCAGCAATTAAGTCCTGCCAACACGCGCAGGGAGTAGAGATGACTTTTTGAAGTCAAACTACCAAGATGAGCCAAGTCCCAAGTCTGAGGCAACCTGTATAGCCAGCGGGTGCTGAACACCCTGGAGATGCTCAGCTGCAGATAATGTTGCTTTGCCATTGCTTTCTCCTGGTTCTCAGGTTTGCACCGTAAGATGTCAAGTCATGTTTCAGACGCACAGGAAGCGGACCTGCGGCAAATTTTTGCATTGGATACCAGTTGCAGGATCTGCACCCGTGCTGTTCTGGCAGCGGGTGCCTACATCGGTGGCGCTCTAGTGGATGCCCGGCGCAGTGGCGTGCAACGCGTCGAAGCAGAGGCGGCACTGAGATATGTCGTGCCTTGGTCTGCCCCGCAGCTCTGCGATCTGGATTTCAGTGTTTTGTCGTCTGGGCTCAGGGCTCGCTTGTGTTCCTCTCTGAGAACCGGGACGAGCCTAGGCTGTCGCCCTGCACATGTTGGTCGGCCCCGTCTTCCGGTTCGAGGGCCGCGAAAGCGACCGCCTCCTCGTCAGGCCTGCAGTTGCTGCTGTGGTGCTTCAAACAGAGCAGAAGCGTCTGTGCGGTACTTGATAGGCGAGATGGGGAGTATGGTGTCGCACGCACCAGCGTTCTGGAGCTCCAGGGCCAAGCCCCTCGGGCCAAGTTGGGATCGGCATGGCCCGATGTGGGGCGACTTCTTGAGCGCTGCATCTGATTGTTCCGGAGCTCCCCTTTGGGACCGTCTTGTTCCTGCAGTTTGTGTCTAGGCATGCCAGAGCATCCTGGGCCGACTTCTGGACCCAGCTGTACTCGCCCGGCACGAGGGCCAGCGCGAGACAGCCGTGGAGCCCAGGTGGGAGCAAGTGCAACTCTGGGATACAGCAAACAGAAGTAGCCCCGGTCTTAATCGACACCAAAAAGATCCAAGAAGTGTTTGCAGCAAAAGAGCTCTGTCCACAACTGATTCAACAACATCTTGCTCTGAATGCCCCTCGTCGAATGCCTGGAGGCCCCACAGCACACTGGAGCTGCTTTCTGCCCTGGCTTTTGGCAACTTGGCAGTGACGTTTAGTATGGAGCTCTCTGCACGCTAATTAGCTTTGTTGCACTGGTGCAAATTCAGCCCGTCGCAAGTGGGACGTGTAAACACGAGCTGAAAATCCGTGGGTGTTGGATGAGCAAGGCATGCCCAGTGACTTTGATCTCGGACCTGCGAAGGAGTTAGACAAGGCCGGCGCAATTGCAGACCGAACGCCTTAAAGGCTCGTCCAGGCCATGCAGCTTTAAAAAGTTGCTAGATCAATAGAGGAAATTCATACTTATCTGGAGCACCAACAGCATGTGCTGCTGTACTACTGCACTGAGTCGCATTGATGCATATCTTTGTGAGGTGCCCGATGGTCTCTTGTGGCCCCTGAGCAATGACTTCCGCTTGGAGGAGGCCCGTGCCTAGCCAAATCAATGGCGTTTTCGTGACAAGGAACACAAGGCTCCAGCAAGACTGCAGCACTTTCCATAAGCAGGGTAGGCACTCCGAGAGCACGTGCGGTACTGTCTTTCAATGGAGATCACGTCCAAACGAACACAAGGCTTGACCATGCACTCTCACATTTCACAGGGAAGTATGGGGAGGCACTAGTAACTAGAATTTCGCAAGGTAGCATGGGGATGGGACTGCTCTCATAGAAGATCTCGCAGAGAAAAAGCCGTGAATCGAGCAAGCGTGGCAGCAACTTTCTGCAGACCGCCATCGCGTGGGCACAACTCAACATAAGCTTTCATGCAGTCCTCTGCATTGCAAACCTTGGGTTTCAGTCTGAACAGCCTATATATATATATATATATATATATATAACCCGTCAGGGCCACGTGGCCAGCCTGGCCGCTGCCACGGAGGATCCACTAGCTTGCCAGGCCCGCTTGGCCGCCTGGCGAAGGAGTCCACAACTTCGGTCTTTTTCCGAGACCGTACGAATCTTTTTGCTGTTCTCAAACCGCTGTCACATGTCACATGTTTTTTTGTCGTTTTCTGTGCAGTTGAGACTCGAACGCGCGGGGGCCGTCTGAGGCCTTTGCCAAGCTGGTGAATCACCTGGCTCGCGATCCGGGTGTCCATGCCCTGGTGAGGTGGGCCTTTGTTGTTTGGTGGGGAGGAGGGCCCAGGCCTCCAATGGAGCTGGCCGTCCCGCAAAGGACGCAAAGGACAAGTCTTTAAGCTACATCCTGAAGACCTTAGTAACAGCAGTAGCGAAGCACTAACGACGGTAATGTCGTATGGATCTTAATACCAGTAATTACAACAATATTTCCAACTTACAACAAAAATAATGGTAATGTAGTAGCAACGTCAGGTTACGAGTGCTACAGCAGTGACCTAGTAGTGACAACAGAAGCAATAGCAACATCAACGGCTAGAACAGCAGCAGTGACGGACCGCAGCCGCAGCAACAACAACAAGAAGATCAGCATCAACAACAACAGCAGCGGCAGCAATAACGACACCAAGAACCAATCACCAACACCACTGAAACACCATCACCAACGATGAGGAGAGGAGTCATTATGATACTGAATACAAATGCGAATACTCATAAGAACTCCAACAGGCATAACAATATTGCTAGAGATCGAGGGCAAAACATGCCACAACAATAGAACAAGCAACCATGCTAGCAACCGACTGCTTCTTCTACTAGCTAGGACGACGACTACTACTCTGACTCTTGCTGCCACTACTACGACTACCATTATTGTCAGTACTAGTACTCCTAATTACTGCCACCACCACCACCACCACCACCACCACCACCACCACCACCACCACCGCCACCCCTACTAATACTGCTACTGCTGCTGCTACTACTGCTACTGCCACTGCTCCTGCTACTTCTACTTCTACTTCTACTTCTACTTCTACTTCTACTTCTACTTCTACTACTACTACTGCTGCTGCTGCTGCTGCTGCTACTGCTACTACTCTCCACTACTACTACTACTACTACTACTACTACTACTACTACTACTGCGACTCCTACTACTACTACTTACTACTACTACTACTACTACCACGACTACTACTACTACTACTACTACTACTACTACTACTACTACTACTACTACTACTACTACTACTACTATCACTACTACTACTACGACTGCCACTACCACTACCACTACCACTACCACTGCCAGTGCCACTACCACTACCACTACCACTACCACTACCATTACCACTGCCACTGCCACTACCACTACTACTACTACTACTATTACTACTACTACTACTACTACTACTACTACTACTACTACTACTACTACTACTACTAAGACCTTGCCGTTGTTGCTGCTACGACTGCGACTACGACTACTGCTACTGGGACTGCGACTGCTCTAACAGCAACAGCAACAACAAACTAAGAAGAATGAGAGACGTAATATCAGCCAAAGCGCAACAACATCAATTTGACGATAGCCAGTCATGGCACGACAAGAGGACCAGTGGAACAGTACCAGCAACCAGAGTCGCTACACGCGACACGTGGTGATGTTGATGACGCTTACAGTCATGAGAAGAACCTGAGTAGTACATACAGGCTATAAGAGCGAAGAATCATGCTGTTGTAGTAGTAGTGCGGCGACTAATTCTCAGAACAACCGTTGCATTAGCAACAGCAGTAAGACTAATTGCGCCAGCAGCAGTCATAGCCATGGTACTGGTAACAGAAATCGTAGCAGTAAAAGATATGGTAGCAGTAAGCAGTCGTAGCAAGCAAAACTTGATGGCAATGGTGCTGGTGACGTTGAACAGTAGTGTTGATAGTAATGTTACTCGTAATTGCGATTACCAGAGTCAAGGTCACAGTCAAACTCATAACCAGAATCATAGCCGTAGTCATGATCGATGAGTGTGACAGTACGAAAACTGTCGCATTTCTAGCAAGCAGGATGCTCGAAGCGGCCTGGTGAAATAGCCACAAGCAGGCGAAGCACAAGGCTTGGGCCACCCCGGGCTCTGACCTCCCATCTCCAGGTCTCATGCCATGGCCTTCGTCCTCATCGTCCAGGAGTGCCTGAAGGGCCTCAAGGATAGGTCCGACCTGGGAAGCCTGGTGCAGGCGACGGTGGAGACCGAGGGGACACCAGGGATCGGGGAGCCAGTGCAGTGCAGTTCGGTTTCACCTCCCGCTGTCAGGCTCACTGGGGCCTTGTTCTCGAGGCCTTGAAGGAGAAGCGACGGCCTGATGACGACGGCTCGGACGAGGATGCCTTGAAGATTGTTCTCGGGCAGGGAAAACGGTGACAGGAGTGTGACGGAATTCTGATGTATGTTTCTGACTTCCTTGGTGCAGCCAGGCAGTGAGATGGCATTGCAAAACTGCAGCTGTGGCTCGACGTGGTAGAATGAAGACCATCACCATGGCTGCTATGACCTAGATGCCCCACCCCCATCACGTGCCTGACGACGAGTGAAAACATCGGGCGAGCACGGACATGTAATGCTAGCCCAGACAAGCTTTTGCACAACTCTTTCCGCATCGAACCGCCCTCATGCGGAATGCATTCGCAGCCACCGGCGGATGAGACAGCACCTGCCATCTTGAAGTGGTTGCAGTGGCCGCATCCTAAGCAAGCCTTCCGCTTTCGTGCGATGAACCCACCGAAGCCCCGCTTCTCCGAAGTGAAAGCGCGACGTGGAATGCCTGCGTCACATGCGGCTGTTGCAGACTTGAGGTCAGATGCCAGTGCGCAGAGGGCTGGGAGGTTCCATTGTGGCAAGATTTGAAGCTGCACCTCGCCAGTTGAACCATCCGATCAGTACTTAGTACTTTTCGAGCACCCTACATCCATCCCGGCTTAGGCACGGAAACAGCAACCGCAAGATGATGGCGCGGTGAAGCCAGAACCAGAGGTTCTGTGGACCTGGCATGAGGAGGACTCTTATTTTTGATGTCTCAATCTTTGGCTCACCTCGCGCGTGCGGAGAGGGCTGACTATCGTGAGCCTCAGGCCTGCACTTAAGGAGAGGCATTGTGTGTCCGCTGCTTTCGAGATCCAGGAGTCCCGGCCCGTTCTGCTCCCGACCTCTCTGAAGAACCACTTTTCAGAGGGGGCGCACCTCGGTCTCATTTTCGACAGGTCCTTTAGGGCTGCTTTGCTCAGACTTGTCGGAGAGCCTCGTGCAGAATTAGGGTAGAAGGCCCGATCCAGGAGATGTGTGAGTTTACGCTATCCAGGACAGCACCGAAAGCCCGTGAAATGCTTCAACTTCGGCTTGGCTGCCGTGTTGTACCAATTCTGTTGAAGCCTTGACTGTTGCTGCAAGCAAGGCAGCAACAGCCAAACCATCACCGTACTCCGCAACCCCAAAAACCACGACGCGCACCAACAACCTCGCCTGGCTTGTCCGAGTGTGAGCACCGAAAGCCCGCGAGAGTCCTCGAGCGTGGGTACAAGGGCCTGGAGCCTTCCATGGCACCTGCAACCAGTGTCACACCGACTCGCACCTGAGAGAATAGACAGGCAAGTTTCACTGCACGAGCCCTGAGATTCGTCAGCGCCCTGCTGAGTAGCGTAGCCTAGTAGTTGCCCTTTAGTGACAACCAGTGTGACAACCATTCCATTGTAACAAGGACCGTAACTGTGCTGTCGAACAGTCTCTGATGTGTTTCACCTCGACCGACTACGCACCAATAACCTCACCTTGCTTGTCCCAGAGTGCCCAAACCCTGAGACTCTTCACCTCCGTGCCTGCTTAGAACGAGCGAGTCCGAAACCCCTCAGCGCGAGGCTCGTTCGGGTCAAGTTTTCCGAGAAGCCAGACTTCCCGTGTCTCGTCCTGGCGCAACCATGGAGGGCGGTTTGGCACCTTGAGAAGGGGACGTAGACTAATCAAAGATTCTGACACTACCACGACAGGCTCTCCGTGATCATAACGCTTTGGCTTCTCTTCATGTTCTGGCAGCCCATGCCAAAGATTTGAGGGTTTGCAGATCGCGGTTTGGCGGCTTCACTCGTGGGTTGGATTCAATGGGCTCAGCCGGACTATCCACGGCGAAGCTTCTTGCTGCATTGCGCAGGAATCTTCTCACACATATCCAATCATAGGCAGATTTCACATGTGTCCTCGCGCTTCGATTACTGCACGACTTCTCGCATGGGCCCGAAGGCTGGCTGGCTTGCCACCAGCCCCGGCTTGATAGCTGGCGTGCCGGCTATCAACGGAGCATGCCCGATGGAAGCAGCTACTGTAAGGATCACCTTCCACTTCCTCTTCAGCTCAGGTTTTTCGTTCGAGCGCATATGGAGTCCTTCTCAGACAAGCTGAAGACCGGTACAATTTCGATTTTGAAGTCTATTCTGAATGCTGCGCCTCGGCCGGCGGATTCGATGCTACTTGTCGGTTCAGGGAGGCTTGGAGGCTGATCATGTTGTCCACCACTCGAAGACTGAAGTGTGACAGTCAATGTGGCAGCCATAGAAGCAGAAGCGTTTCGTCTCGGATGGGCTGACATTCTGATAGCGGCGACCTGGAACCGAGCCCTCGATCCCCCGCCGCGCCTTGGTCTGAGGCAAGTCTCACGGGAGATCTGGAGAAAAAGGCGAAGTTAGTCTTGGCCGAAGAGAAGGACCAAGAAAGGGCCTGGGCCGCCTGGGCCTTGGTCCATGAGTTCACTCTAAACCCCAGGAGGCCGCTCTGAAGGAGATGGTCATGGTCATCGGTGACACCTACATGTCAAAGCGCAGCTTACCTGGTTCGGGGAGGGAGGGCACGTGTAAGCCTCGCTGATGTTGCCCGAGCGACGAAGGCGATTTGTGGCAGCTGCAGTTGGCAATGATGCAGCACAAGGGGCGGTTGATCTATCGCGGTTTCCGCCAAAACTTTTGTGAGCACGTTCCCTCCAGCAGCATAGAGCCTTGGCAACCTGTAATCTCATGTGCACCATGCGCATTTCGTAGAGTTTTGCGAGCAGGCACAGGACGTTGTGCAGCAACTGTTCAGGACAAGCTCGTCTCAGCAGATGGGAAAGCCGCTGCGTGTGGCATGGTGGGCGTGAAGACTGATGTTGCCTTCAGGTCGTTGGCCCAGCAGAAAACCCTCTCTCGTCGGACTCAGCGAGCTGATGACTATAGAGCTGATCTGCTGCAAGGTCGTCCAGCACGCACATGTTTCTGCTCATCGAGGTGAGTGCTGAGCTGTTTCTCAGCTGCAGCAAGCATGACCGCGACGAGACACGAGCACAACACAGCATGACTTCCGGTCCACCACTGCCCGATGCAATCTGGATCCAGCTGTGCAGCGGAGATGGTCACCCCAAGGTTTTCCTTCGGCCTCTTTGGAAGATACTATTGGGAAGTTCTCCTGGAGTGCTTTGGCCACGGCCTCGCAGTTCTGTTGGACCTGGCTCAGAGTGAGAAGCCGCGCGCCGCGCGCAGGCCAGTGCCTCGAACGGGCATGCGCGGTGCCATCCGGAAAGCGGAGCACCAGCCACTTCCTGCGCATCATTCTCTTTGCGCGGGCCAAGGAGTCTAGGCTGGTTCGTTTCTAGCTGGTTCCATGCAGGTTTGCCCTAGGCAGCTTGGCTTGACGAATTGAGGAACATTCTGAGTCAGCGAACGAAGAGACTTCGCGAAGTGCTTCGCCGAGGCACCGCCCCCCAAAACAGATACTATACTACACTATGACACGAGAATCTGATCCTATAATAATACTCTAATACGACACCATGATGGGATACTACAAAAGGATACTGATACTACAATATGATATTAGAATAGGATACTAGAATAGGATAGTGTAATATTCGAATCTTCAGCTTCCTGTTGATGAAACCGGCCAAAGGAGCATCTGGAGGCAAAGTGCACAGCTTTGTCGTTGGTTGGGCAGAGGGCTGACTAGGGTGGTAGTAGTAGACGTCGATTGAAAGCTGCACAGACAGCATGCCTCAGTTCTGGCTTGAAGGCTTATGTATGATCATCTATTACATTTCGTATATCATACGTAATAGCCTTTCCCAGGTCGCCCAACCGCCAGGCCTTTACAGCCGTGGGGCCTTCCCCTGAACAGAAGGACTCGGGTGCATCTCTGTGTTGCAAATCCTCGTGTAGATGCTGCGTGAGAGCGACTTCGAGACTTCTTAAACATTGCGAAGCTCGCATGCGTTTTAAACATGCTCTCCAGAAAGTAGCTTAACCCCAATTCGATAGCCCCTCTCTCTCTCTGTCTCGCTCGGTCTCGACTTCATAACCCTCCCCTCTACTCTGTACCGTGTTTGTCTCAACTGCTGAAGTCCCTTTCGAGCCGGCAGTAGGTTCTGTCATAGCTTCGCATCTCAGACTGGTGTGTTTGCAGGCCTCACGGTTTCTCCAGCTCGAGCTCTAGCCAGTCTGTGGTTCTCAGGGCTTACTTCTCGTTTCCCACGTCTCTAGTGGCATTCACCCGGCTCCTGTTTGCTTCTCTCCCGTTCGATTCCATCTCTCAATGCGGTTTCTTTCTCAGGATTATGTCATCCTGTGCCGCTCCCCCCATTTGTGTCTGTGTCCGTGCGCGGGTGGCTTCCGCGACTCTTTGTATTTTCTCTCGCGTGTCGTTCTCCTTTGCTCTTTTTTCTTCACATTGGGACACCAGCTCATGTTTTTGTGGCTTCCTGTCGTCAAAGTCGAGTCATCCTGTGGATTCTCCATGGTTCTCATATTCTCGAGTCCTTCTGCTGTAGTCACATCATGTCTCATCCGAGTTTGCTCTGTTCCCAAGCCATGACATCCTTATCATGTGCCCTGTCGGTTTCCCCCGAAGGCAGGTTAAACAGCGTGGCCAAAGGAATAACGACAACCTAGTTCAAGGAAGCTGCGATGTCAGGGTAGGGTTGGCAGCTGTGGTGCTGCCAGACGCCGAGATGTGTACATGTACACCTGGTTTTCACCAGGACCTTTATGACGTGATTTTCGAGGGCTATGCCTCCACAATGCCACCGGCACGCGAACTGCGAAATCGGGCGCCTCCGCTCATGGTAGTTTGTGTAGTTGTGTGAAAGCTCCTGCCGCAACTGTCGCAGCCCATATGTCAGATGACAGCCAGTGATGTCTTGCTCTTGTTCAGGTGGCGCGTGTTTTTCTCACACTCATGGAGGAAGAGGCCTTGTGGCGCTTGTGCGGTCTATACTCTTCTTTGTCTGGGTCGGTCTCTCCGTCTTTCGCACTGTCTGTCTGTCCGTTTCTATCCCTCTCGTCCTTGCTCGTTCACTTCACAGCACCTGGCATGAATATCTCACTTTAGCCAGGATCGATACAAGCGGGATCCGG